TTTTTAAATAAGACAAAAACAACTATCTAATATAATGATTTTTTCCCTTAATTTATTTCTTTCCAAAGGGTTTCAGGGACTTCGGGCTCGAAGGTCACTGAGAAAGATGTTCCCTCATGGCGAGTGCCAAAGCAGGCTACTGTACAAACAGAGTTAGTATCACTCCTGTGCTTGTGGCCATCACTGGGCGCCGTGTCTGACCCTCACTTTCAAACAGAGGTGAGAGCCGACTTCCTGGAACTGGTGACTTGGAAGTGGAATACAGGAAAATACACCTACGGACGCTTTCTTATTGACTGTCGATGTTCAAAGACTCTTCTCTTCCATGCTCCTAACTCATCCCCGTCACTCTGTATTAGAGCTTCTGTCTCCCCAAAGGCAGGAAGCTGATGACAGCTTCTCAGGGCACACGGTTGGACAGACTGTAGACAATGAGTATTTCTGCTGGTATAGTATTATATTCAACATGAAAGTCTTGATTCTTTATGTTTGGTTTTGCGGACCACACCTAGTGGTGTTCAGGACTTACTCCTGGTGCTGCAGTGAGGGTTTGCTCCTGGCAGGGCCCAGAGGACCACACAAGGTGACAGGGATCAAACCTGGGTCAGCACAGAAGGCAAGTGCCCTATCCACTGTCCTCTCTCTCTCCAGCCCACAAATACCTAATTTCTTAATTAGCCAGTGTTAGACTAACTGGCCCACCACCTCTCGTTCCAACATTTATAAATGGAGTTTTAATGCAACGTGATCAGACTTTCAAATGGGTGTGTCTAGTTTCAAATATTCAATAATCTCTTCCTAAATACTGAGTATCTTCGCGAAGGCAGCAGAAACAACTTGTGAGTTTTGAGTCATTTTCGCTCTGATTCGGACCATGCACCCAACTTGCAGCAGCCTTTGGCAAGTCACTTTAGCCACTGCGGCCCCTGAGCTGTCAGATTCGAGCAGAGAGCTGGGTGAATAAACAGTCACCACCGGCCTCGGCCTCGGGTGCGGGTCCCCAAGGCTGAGGGGCAGGAAGCAGGAGGGTGCGTGTGTAGAAGCCTCTGCCAACACTAGAGGGAGCCACAATCATGTCGTCACCTGGAGGGTTGGGCAGATTTCAAGGGCAAGAAGCATCTTTATCTTTATTTATTTATTTGGCTTTTGGGCCACACCCAGCGATGCTCAGCACAGATCCCTGGCTCTGTGCTCAGGGATCACTCCTGTTGGTGCTCGCGTGACCAGACGCGATGCTGGGAATCCAACATGTTAGCAGCATGCAATGCAAGTGCGATATCCACCCTCTTCAGCCCTGAGGCAAAGCAACTTTTTAAAAAAAATTTGTTTTCCTTTTAGGTCACACCCAGCAATGCTCAGGGATTACTCCTGGAGGTGCTGGGGGACCGTATTAGGTGTCAGGGATCAAACCCAGGTCAGTCGTGTGCGAGGTGAGCCACGACGTGCGGCACCACTGCTCTGGCCCTGAGGGAAAGCATCTGTCAGTGGAAAACGGAGTTCTGAGAATGACAGAAATAATATCTCAAGTGAGACATCCACATTGTTCACTCAGCCACCCCGCGGGCTCTCTGCCATCACCACCCTCCTGTCCAAGCACCTCACACTTGATATATCCTTTTGGACCTTAATTCGAAAAGAACCAAGCTGGTTTGGAGTCATTACTCGATTTCTTTTCCCAATCAATTGTTTTTCGTTTGGGATTTTATTTTTTTTTTTGGCTTCTTGGGTCACACCCGGCAGTGCAACAGGGGTTACTCCTGGCTCTGCACTCAGGAATCACTCCTGGCAGTGCTCAGGGGACCATATGGGATGCTGGGGATCGAACCTGGGTCGGCCGCATGCAAGGCAAATGCCCTATCTGCTGTGCTACTGTTCCAGTCCAGTTTTTTAAAATCAAAATAACGACAACAACAACAACAAAGTTAAGTAATTAATACTACTGGGGGGAGGGGCTGGTTAAAAAAAAAACTAAAAGATGAGATAGAGGAAGAGAGAGTGGCCACATTGCATCGGGGGCCGTAAAGGTCAGTCATCTGCTACTGTTTTCCTCAGCCCCACTCACACGAGCCCTGAGTGAGCACTGCTGCTTCGAGGACCAGAACGCCACCTCCAGAGTAGAAGAGCCTCAAGGGACACAGGGAATTAACTGCTCACTCTCCACGCGGGAGCAGGAACGGCTGTTACTGCCCCGCTGAGCAGCGGGAAGGAGCGTGCACCTGCTGCCTCAAACACAGGAAGCGCATCACGCTGGACCTGTGAACTGTCAAGGGAACTGTCGAGTCATGTCAAGCAACATGACGTTACACGTGCAGGGGCAAGGAAGGGAAGCTAAAGGTCTTTTCTATGGGGCTGGAGTGACAGTACAGCGGGGAAGGTACTGATCTTGCACATGGCTGACCAGGGTTTGATCCCCAGCATCCCACGTGGTCTCCCGAGCCTACCAGGAGTGATCCCTCAGTGCAGAGCCAGAAGCGGAGCTGAGCACCACCAGCACAGTTCCAAACAAAAAAACAAAACAAAAACAAACGTAAAGGGCATGTCTAACATCAAGGGCATATCTAACGGCTGAAGTTACAGATACATACTTTCCCTCCCCCCAAACACAGTCACGACCTTGAAAATGTACAACCTAAGCCCTTCTTAAAATGTGAAATAAAAAATCAAAACCTTCTCTTTGCCCAGAGGCAAATACAGGCAATACAGAGGCCACAGGTTGCAAAAATATTACAGAACGTGGTCTATAATATTTGAAAGATAAACACAATCCTAAACGTGCCTTGTATTTCAATTTCACAGATTAATTTAATACTCAAAAAAAACAAATCTTCAAGTATCAGAAATGGACCACCTATTTATTAGGACACAATCTGCTTATGAGTAATAGTAGATCAGAATGCAATTATGGAAAGTATGTGGGTGAAGAGAAAAATCTACTAGGACAAGGAAAAAAAGATCTTCATATTAAAAAATGCAAAGTCTGGGGGTCTGGTGCCGCCAGCAGGTCAATCTGTACCTGGGAGGCGAGTGCATCAGCAGCCTGATGGCGCCTTCAGACTTCCAGATACCCCAAAATTGCTGCTGTGCCTTTGGCCAGACCCCAAAACCTTGGGGCAAAGTTTACCAAGAAAGTAAACGGCCAAAAGTTAGGTATGTGGGAAACACACCCACAAACCAACTCTGGCTCAGCTATATAATTGGAGGCAAGGCCTTTCTGGTTCCTGATCGAACTGCTTAATGGCCATGATCCCAGAGACTCAGAAGCAAATCTTGAAACCCAACGGCTATTGGCAGAAATGCGTCTGGTCTCTGCAGTAAGTCACCGGTGCTGGGCCAACCCAGGTGGGAATAGGTTTTGTGTCTTGGCCTGTTCCCCCTGGTGGCCCAGCGGCTGCCATCCTTCTGAGGCCACTGGACAGTCAGGTTTGGGCTCCCAGTGATGAGACACACAGGGCCTCATGGGATGGGGGTGGAGCCAGTCCTGTCCTCCCCACTCCACTGAGACCCCAAGTCATCGCCCACAAATGGCCTCTCTGGCTCCTGATCAAGCTGTTTAACGGCCTTGATCCCAGAGACTCAGAAACAAATCTCGAAACCCAGTGGCTTTGGGCAGAAATGCATCCAGACCCCATAGTACGTTACTGTCGCCAGGCCACCCCAGGGAGGAAAGGTTGTTGTCACTCCGCCTGCGCCCCCTTGGTGACTCGGTGGCCGTCATCCTCCAGAGGCCATTGGACAGTCAGGCTTGGGCCCACAATGATGAAACTTGTTGAGCTTCACGGGATGGGAGGAAAGGGGACGGGGAGCCGGGCCTGTCCTCCCCATCCCAATGAGACTCCAAGTCATCACCCACGAACGGCCTCTCTGGCTCCTGATGAAGCTGCTTAATGGCCTTGATCCCAGAGACTCAGAAACAAATCTCGAAACCTAGTGGCTTTTGGCAGAAATACGTCCAGACCCCGCAGTAGGTTACTGTCACCGGTCCACCTTAGGGGGGAAAGGGTGTTGTTCCTCTGCCTGCTTCCCCTTGGCGGCTCAGTGGCCATCATCCTCCAGAAGCCATTGGACAGTCAGGTCTGGGCCCGCAGTGACGAGGCATTTTGAGCCTCACGGGATGGGGGTGGAGCCGGGCCTATCTTCCCCTCCCCAACGAGACCCCAAGTCATCGCCCACAAACGGCCTCTCTGGCTCCTGATCAAGCTGCTCAATGGCCATGATCCCAGAGACTCAGGAGCAAATCTCGAAACCCAGTGGCTTTTGGCAGAAATCCCTTCAGATTTAAGTGTTAAAATTTCGGAATTTCAAAATCACATGGTCCTACTGCAGCCACACGACATCATCTGTCATTCATAACCAGCAATAGAACACAAATTGTCTACTATTGCCTTTTCAGCAGATCTGAGTGTTGGGGTAAAATCTCAAATAATAATGGTGGGTCTGGTGTCGAAATATTGAATGTGATCAAAGTAGAGAGAGAGTAATGTGGAAATCATCTGCCCCACAGGCAGGGGGAGGGTGTGGGATGGGGGTATACTGGGGTTTTTGGAGGTGGAGAATGGGCACTGGTGAAGGAACGGGTGTTTCATTGTATGACCGAGACTTAGACCCAAAAGATTTGTAACTGCTCTCACAGTGATTCAATAAATAAAGTTATAAAAAATTTTTTAAAAAAGTGAAAAAGAAAAATGCCAAGTCAGGTCTCCAGAGGTTAAATATTGAGAAAATCTTTCCTGGTTATACCAACTTATACTCATGAATCCAAGCAGTTTTCTTAGATTGACTGCAAACACTACAAAGGTATCACAGCTTTAAAGGAGTCAAAAAGAATTCTAGTCCAGGATATTAAAACAAGGTTTTTTTTTGTTTTTCATATAACTAGCTTTCCATCAATGATCCTCTTAGAAAGCATGATGGAAATACACTTTGCTGCTACAAGAATTTGTTTTCCTCCTCTTTATAGGACATGTGCCCAAAAGCTCCCACTTCACTCTGTTCATACTGACCTTTAAAATGTTTCTGCCGTCAAACGATTCTCTCTCCCTGAAGATATACTTGCCATCCGCTGTGTAGAGATTGTACCTGCCTTCGGCTGTAAATATTCCAAAGATAATGTTAGAGGAGAAGCTGGGTTATTTATCTGCTGTTTCGCTTAGATTTCTATAGGTCAACGAGCAAAATTTTCATGATTACAGAAATTGGCATAATGTGGAAAGAAAAATATCAGGCTGTGTGAGTCAAGAGACTCAGCATCGAAATCTCAGCTTTATCACCGGCTCATTCAATATACATTAATTCATCCAACACTAAATGTTAGTAATGAAACGAGTTCTGTTCTGTGCAAAGCCTCTCCCCTCTGTGGATCTCAGTTCCTCGTACACAAAGTTAGAGGTTCAGACTAGGGGATCTCCAAAGGCTCCCTGCAGTCTACAATTTGTAAACTGCATGCCCAGTGGTGCTCAGAGCTTATTCCTGACTCTGCTTTCAGGGAATCACTCTTTTTGGTACTTGGGGGACCAACCACATGGCTGCTGGGGATCAGACCCAGGTTGGCTAAGGTGCAAGGCACACGCCTTACCTGTTGTACTATCTCTCTGACTCTGCAGGCATTTTTAAAGAAAAAAAAAAACGCAAAGTTCACATGTTAACTAGTCAAAATTACGACGATCATACTTTGGACTTAAGGTCATACTTTGGACTTAAGGACTCCCTCTACCTGAACAGGATGTATCCTCCTAGACATAATGAACAGAAATGCAGCAAATCTATGAGCTCATCAAAACTGTGTTCTAACTCCTTGGGTTAATTAAGTGCATTCCGAAGGATGCCAGTGAAACATAGCAAGAAAAAGGATATAAAATGAAGGGGATCACTGGAGGCAGGGCGGGGAGGGCGGGGCCTCCTTCTATTCTATCCTCCTTCTATCCTCCCAGTGAAAAAGTCAAAATAAGATATAAAACTCAAAGCAAAAGGTAAGGGCATGCACTGAGGTCGTTTGGGGAGGGAAGTGGGTATGCACGTGTAGAGCGTGATGCTGGAAACTTACAGTATTTAACAATACTATAAATCACAGCACCTCAACCAATTCAAAAAATAAGATTCAAAGCAACCTCAGTAATTATCTGGCTCTCAGAACATTTTCTGAAATATTTACCCTTTCCTGCTTACCAATGGACTCTAGTCGAGATCTCTTTCCCATGAGCAGGGACCACCTCAGAGTTGATAAACTATACCCAGAGTGCCTAGTTTATAAACTACACCTCCACCTGTCTGAGCCTGACACGGTTCAGCCAGCCTGCTGGACTGATGCTCGGGGACCTGGGACTGCTTCTTTAGTGAGGAGTGCTGCTTTCATCAAAGGTCACTGTCCCACACAAGGTTCTTGTCCCTCCCCAGGGATGCTCGGGGCCAGCAGGTCACCCCCAGGGAAACTCAGCTGGGCAGTGTGAGCCAATGGGTCAGTGTGAGGGGCTGGCGACAAGGTGCTTGGGGACTCCAAGGCTACAGCCACACACTGGGTGGGAGTGAAGCAGTTTCAGGGATGGAACTTGGCCGCACACGCAAGGCATGTGCTGACCCCGCTGACCTGTATTTCCTGTGCCCATCCCAGGCATATGTTACAATTTTTTTTCACATCAATGGCTTTTATTGTCATTCAGATATTTCATAGAAAAAGAGGGCAATAATTGAGAGGAAACTTTCAAGTAAACTCATACTGAATAAGTACTAATAAAAACAGTGTTTTAAACTTCAATGATGTTCAATGACAGCTTGACAATATATGTAAATTCTGCCATCAAGGAAGTAAATCAAGGGACGAGGGAGAGAATACAGGGGTTCGGGAACATGAGGGGCCACTGCAGGACCTTGGACATTGCCAGGGTGGTCCTGGGGGCTCCTGGTACCACAGGCCCAAGCAGTGCTGCATCCTCTGATCTGAGCACTGACCTCAGGAGTGACCCCCAGGCTCCTGGACATAAAAAAGGGAGCCATAAAAAAGAGAAAGAAACCAGAGTACATCCACTTTACATCCAGAAAGATGTTAACAATCAAAATGACAGACAATAGCGAATGTTGGACAAGATGTAGAGAAACTGAAAGTAAAGTGGTGTCGTTACTTTGCAAAAGAGTTTGGCAGGGCCCCAAAAAGTTACACATAGCTATCATGGGGTCCAGCAATTTCACTCTTTAGTATATAGCTAAGAGAAAAGAAAACATATGCCCCCATATGAAACTCGTACATAACTGCTCTCTGCCACATTATTTGTAATAGATAACAGCGGAAACAACATAAATGTTTGTCAACTGACTGACTAATGGACAAATAAGATCTAATATAGACACACGACAAAATATCATTCAGTCATCAAGAAAAATCAAGGGGGGGCCAGCCAGGGCAGCGGGTAGGGCGCTTGCCTTGCATGCCATCCATCTGGGTTCAATCCTCTGAGTCCCGCAAGGAGTAATCCCTGAGTGGAGAGCCAGGAGTAACCCCAGAGCACACCAGGGGTGGCCCGAAAACCAAAGGAAAAACGTCAAGCAAGGGGCTTGGGCGAGAACTGGAGGATGTGCTTGAGCTTGCAAGGCCCTGGTTCAACTCCATGGGTTCGCGTGGCTCCCCAAACACTACCACGTAGAACCCTGGTGGCTGCCGGGCCTAAACACTGCCGGGAATGGGTCCAACAAATACTGGCCTGACGCATGTCAGTATTAAATGGATGGACCCTGCAAATATGCAGAGAAAGAAGTTTATCGCAGAAGATCACACGTTGCGCGATTCAATTCATTTGGAAATCCAGAAAAGGCAAATTCATAGGATAGAAAAGACGGGAGGTGCCTCTGCCTCTAGGAACGAGGAAACTGGAGAGTCCCTGCCAAAGGGTGTGGGTTCCTTTTGTGGTTTGGGGAACCATCTGTGGAGGCAGGGATGGAAGCCAGGTCACTGGGGCAGGGCAAGGCCCTACCCACTGGACTATCTATCACTTTCGCCCCTGCGGTTGACAATCGCGGGGGAGAGCTTTGGGGCTGGGAGGAGAGCTGGCCTGTGGCTGCTGAGTATTAATTAAACAGCATCTCTGGCCTATCATAGGTGCCAGCAGCAACCCACCCTCAGTCCCCTAATTGTGACAATCAAGTAAACCAAAAATGTCCCCATCAGAGCAGAAACCTCGTGGCAGAAGAAGAGGGCAGAACTGCCCATAGCAGAGAGCCAGGGTCCAACGCGGTCCGAACTCACCAATTTCCCTGCCCTTTTCTCCCCAATAATCACCACGGGATTCATGGGACACATTTATACTAAAATAAATGATGAGTGTTCACCTAATATTCACCTCACACCCTACACTTGTATTTGCCACATCTGGCAACCCGAGATGACAGGGAAAAAAAAGTTTGTTGATTTCTTTTCTTTTCATAGCATTTTGCCCACTTCCACCGCTCATCCAAACAAGGCAGCGGCCTAAAGGAACAAGGAACAAGAGACCCCTGGATGGCCCCTTTCATCCAAACCCAGCGACGTGACAAGGCCTTTGCAATTCACCGTGTAGCTCAGAGGACTTACCATTGGGGTCCTTCCTGAAGAGCGTGTTCATGACTGTGGCGTGGAGTTTCACACTGTTCCAGTCTTTCACTATGAATCCAGATGTCTGAAAACGTTCCAGCACTCGGTCAGCCAACTCCTGCAGCCTGGAGAAACGGGAGAAAGGAGTAGAAAAATATTACCAAGTCCCTAAATGCCAATTCAATAACGTCTGTAGTGCGCCTGCACTGGGCCAATCGCCAAACAAGGCCCTGCATAGGAAGAGGGAACAGCAAAGGCTGTCAGTCAGGTCTTGTGGGGCTGGAGGAGGGCGGGAGGAGGGGCCTGGGGGTGGAGGCAGCTCTGTTGCAAGTATGAAAACATGAGTTTGGGTCTCAGAGCTGCCCAGTCCCACTGCAATATGGGATTCCTGCACACCTCAATGCTCTCTGTCCACCACAGACAGGTATGAGCAAGCATCACCAGCATGCTATATGAGGGCCGGAGCGACTGTACAGCCCACAGGAAGCTGGCCTTGCACATCGCCAACCTGAGTTCGACCGCAGCATTCCATATTGTCCCTGAGCACCGCAGGAGTGATCCCTGAGCACAGAACCAGGAGGATGCCCCAAGCATCGCCAGGCATTGACCGAAACAAAACCACACAAAAGACGAGCGCAGTGGCCAGCCTGCTGCCCTGCTGAGTTCCACGCACCATAGGAACCACCACGAGCATGACAGCCAGAATGTGTGTAAGCGCCGCAGACAAGGGGTAGCAACCCCTACCAACCCCTGCAAGACCCACAACCCAAAAGTAAGAGTAGTATAGGTGTGTGTGTGTCTGTCTGTATGTGTCTGTGTGTGTCTGTATGTATCTGTGTGTGTCTAAAGTGTATCTGTGTGTCTGTGTGTGTCTCTGTGTGTCTGTGTATCTTCTGTGTGTCTGTGTGTCTCTATGTGTCTGTGTGAGTGTCTCTGTGTATGTCTGTGTGTGTCTGTGTCTCTGCATGTGTCTCTGTGTGTCTGTGTATGTCTCTGTGTGTGTCTGTGTGTCTCTGTGCTTGTGTGTAAGTCTGTATGTGTGAGTCTGTGTGTGCGGGTAGGGTGCACACACGCACTCCCATCCCAGTCTGCGGGGTCTCCTGTCCCCTCCCTTCATGAGCACGGGCTCGGCAGAGAGTCCCTTACAAGCCAGACCACGGGGGGAATCATCTCAGAGCACAGCAGGTTCCCTTCCCGTTCCTACTGCTCAGGCTCCCAAATTCTAAGTTAATCTTCTTAAAACTCTCATTTCTTTCTCTTAACTGTTTTTGTTTTGTATTTTTTGCTAAGTACTATCTAGCAATCCAAGAATCTTTAGAACAACGGTAAGTTAAGAATAATAACACGATAAATGCCAATGTCCTTGCCAGGCCCTTCAGAAAGGGAGCAAGGGCTGGGCGCTAGAGGAAGAACAGCAGATGAAGCCAGAGGTCTAGAAAAGGAGCGATTGGTTTGGGGTTTGGGTGCTCAGGGCTGACTCCTGACTCTGAGCTCAGGGATCACTCTTCAAGGCTCACGGGACCATATGGGATGCCAGAGATCAAACTCAGGTTAGCCGCGTACAAGGTGACTGCCCTACCTCTGTACTACCGCTCCAGCCCCAGGATGAAGAGTATTTCTTTCAATGCAGCCTTTGAAAGAATCCAAACAAATTCCTGCTTCCCCCACAGATCAGATCATTTCCCCCACTGTTCGGTGAAATGGAACAGTCAGTTTTCCTTCTGCCTCAAGCATTATCACTTTCTGGGTCCTCAGGATGCTCCCAGTTCTGAGATGCCACCCCACCCCACCCCACCCCTCTCGGTCACAGCCTCTGCTGCAGCCTCCAACCTCAACCCCTCAGCACACACGCTGCTTCTCCGGCTTCCAGCACTTAGCAACTCACAGCTGCCGCCTCCAAATTGCTTCTCCCCTGAGACTCCCCACTCCACTTCCTTTCCTCTCCCTGTGCCAATCTCATCAGCTTTCCAGATCCAACTCAAATCCCAACATTCCACGAAGGAGCCTAACTGTCCCCACTGCACCCCCGCCCATGTTCATGAGTAGCGATTTTGCCCTTCTCTGATATGCTGCCCCTTATATTTATGCTAAATATCGCCTGGCTTTATTTAGCATTGTCAGGATGGTCCCTTGACATTACAAACTTGGCCAAACGCTTCCCTTACTGGTCTGGATGCTCCAGGGTGGTGTGTCGGGTCTGTCTTGTATCTGCCAATAACACCATTACATTTGGCTTTTAGTACCTACTGCCTGTAGTTAACTCATGAATTTGATTGGTGAAAAAATGGAATCTGCAAAATGAAATCAACATGACTTTGAAAGACCACTGAAGGTTCATAGTTAAAACCAGGGAAGGAAGAAGCAACAGCATGTAAGAGCACAGCTTCTCCGGAAAATCGCCAATTAACACAACTGTGCTAGATACAGCCAGAAGAGGACAGTCAGAGAGGCTCTCTCTGGCCCTGTAAGCAGCAGCCACGGAGAACTGTGAAAAGGAATCATCAGCTAATTAGCCCACTTTCAAAGCTGACTTTGATAGAGTAGCAAAGTTTTTTTGTTTTTTGCTTTTTGGGTCACACCCGGCAATGCACAGGGGTTCCTCCTCGTTTCGCACTCAGGAATTACTCCAGCAGGTGCTCAGGGGACCATATGGGATGCTGGGAATTGAAGCCGGGTCGGCCACGTGCAAGGCAAACTAATGCCTTCCCCACTGTACTATCGCTCCAGACCCCTGGAGCAGGAAAGTTTTAGAAGGGAGAAGCAGCACTCATGGCCGAACAGTTCTGTAATAACAGAGTGCACAGCCTGGCAGTGTGGCTGGCATTTTCCACAGAAGGTAGGGCCGGGAAATCTGTGTTGTTGGGTCCTGTGGTGCTCAGGGTCCCCCAATGATATTTTTGGTCATGTTCAGGGGAACACTTGGTGCTGGGGTCCGAGCTTGGATGCTTGCACATGCAACCATGCACTCCAGCCCTCTGAGCTCTCTCCCCAGGCCTTTCCAGAAGAATTTAAACTGGCAACGAGAAGAGCAAATCAATAAAAAGTATTGGTGGGGCAGGAGCAATAGTACAGAGGGTAGGACGTTTGCCTTGCACGCAGCTGACCCGGGTTCAATTCCCAGGATCCCATATGGTCCCCCGAGCACCGCCAGGAGTAATTCCTGAGTGCATGAGCCAGGAGGAATCCCTGTGCATCATCAGGTGTGACCCAAAAAGAAAAATATATATATAGAGAGAGGCAAGGATGAAGAAAAGAAACTAATTTCCCCCCAAAAATGGTTTTGTCTCAACATACCTCAGCGACATGCACATACAAACCCCCCCCCACACACATACACACACAGTATACGCAATTAACTTTGTAGTTAGCTGGTTTAATTGTACATGCGTATATGAATTATATTGTGTCTCAAGTTGTTTGTTGCTGTTGTTATTTTTAATTATCTAAGACCATCAAAGAATCATCGAGTTTTGGAATATCTCTAAATATTACAATACAGTTGAAGCCTGAGCATGACGAAAGTCTGCCCCTCAATTACAAATCACAACAAAATAACACCTTGTTTTCACTAGAGTGATGTTATTTAATGTTCTATTAAAGAAAATTAATTGGGTACGGGAAGTTAGGAACAAGGAGCAGGAATACTAGGGGAAAAAATTAAATAGACCAATGTAAGCAGCCAGTTCCAGCTTTGGTCTTCTGGAGAATGAAGATTTCTGTTTGATTTACAGACTCAGAACTTGGAAGGTACTGGAAGCTTTCAGGGGTCCTAGTCTAGCCTGCTCGTTTTACAGGACGTGAATCACGGACAGGCTGAGCTGCTCAAAGCCAGGACGAAGAATTCCCACATCTCCTGGCAGTAGGTTGGCTCTGTTACAGATTCCTTAAGCATCCTACCAAGACTGACTCTTTGTCTTAATAACTGCTTTACCCTAGCACCTAAATTAAATTCTAACCGACATGGAATAGGTGTTCAATAAACAGTTGTCAAAAGAATTAATAAGTGATAGCTATTTTAGCATTCCATTAAGAAAACGTAGCGGTTTTTAAGGACAATCACTAAAACTTAGTTTAATGCTATAGATACTATATTTGACAATATGTCGATATATTTTTAACAAGATAGTCTCTCAATTCTTAAATTTCCCATTGATTCTTATTTGACTATAAATGAATCACAAAGCATGATTAAAATTATAGGGTACCGGGGCCAGAGCGAGACACAGCAGATGGGCCGTTTACCTCGCATGCGGCCAACCTGGGTTTATTGATCCTCGGTTTCCCATACGGTCTCAAGCACTGCCAGGAGTAATTCCTGAGTGCAGAGCCAGGAGTAACCCTTGAGCACTGCCAGGTGTAACCCCAAAAGTAAAAAAATAAAGTAAAATCATAGGGTACTGAAGTTAAAATGCACAGATCAATGAAATAGCACTCAGAATCCAGAAATAAGCCTATGTATTTACTGATACTTAACACAAGAGATCTAAAACCATACCAACACCCCCCCCAAAAAAACAGAAACCATATAATGAAGAAAGGAGGCTCTTCAACTCGGAAAAACTGGACAGGCACACACGACAGAATGAAGCTCTCCTAGTCTCCCTAATTGCGTATATAAAAATACATTCACAATGGATTGAAATCCCAAAGTATAAAGTAAATAGAAAATAACACAAATGAAACTGGCTCATCAAGAAATGTGAAGTGGAACAAGGAAAGCCTCTTCAACAAGTGGTGCTGGGAAAACTGGATAGCTACCTGCAAAAAAATGAACTCTGACCTCTGTCTAATGCCAGGAACAAAAGTCAGATCAAAGTGGATTAAAGACCTCAATGTCAGACATGAATCCATAAGGTACATAGAGGAAAATGTAGGCAGAACTCTCCACGACATTGAAGCTAAAAACATCTTTAAGGATGAAACAGCACTGACCATGCAAGTAGAAGCAAACATAAACAAATGAGACTACATCAAACTGAGAAGCTTCTGCACTTCAAAACACAGTGACCAAAATACAGGAAGAGCCCACAGAATGGGAAAGAATATTTACCCAATACCCATCTGATAAGGGATTAATATTCAGGATATACAAGACACCAGGATAATTGTACAAGAAAAAAACTCG